AGCCAGCTCAACTTATGTAATTCCCGCCATCCTCACTGTCATTCATCCCTGAGCCAATCCTCTTCTTCACAAGATAATAAATGCTGGGAGAGGCCTAGAGTCAAGGCCTTTGTCTGCATGTCCTCACGGGGATAGGACTTAGGATTCCTTGGCTGCCCTTAACTTGGAATGTTTTGGTGTCTTTGTTCTTGCCATGGTTTGCATTAGTGGTGGTAGACTAAAATTAACTGATAGAATTGTGGTGCGGCTGAAAAGATAAGAAGTATGAAATATAAATGACCTTTATTTTAAGAATATAAGGAGAGACCCCCCCCCAACCCTCTGGGGTCTGGCATCAACCTGGGGTCGGTGATCTCTCCCCAGGGTCTGGGAATCTCTCTGCCAGACATGTGAAGTGGAGACATACATGTAGCTTAGGTTTGGGGTGGTGCCTGAGGGGCATTAGTGATGCGCAGGTATGTTACTGGTATTCATTTCGCACCAGAGGCAAATTCCTAGGGGTGGGGAAGATAGAGCCACAGGTAAATTCCTAGGGATGGAGAAGATGGAGTTCTTTGGTTCTGCCTCTAAGGCTTTACCAGCTACAGTGTCTTGTCTGGGCCAAAATCCTTTCATACCTGACTTTTGATTATTATTAGGAAAAAGGGTGGAGTTTTTCTTTCTTTTACTGCTTCCTGCTGGAAAGGGGCACTGTACTGGGGTTTAGGGGAGTCAACAGAATGACGGTTGATGCTCATGTAGAAGCTGGTGCCAGGTGTTTTAGCCAGGACTTTATCACTGGTGAATGCAAGTATGTTAGATTGGAAAAACAAAGAGACAAAATGTTATGAGGAGACATGACACTGTCATATTTAAAGACCCAAGTGAGGTAAAAAGAAAGGTGCCTTTGATTTAGATATGTCATTATATCAGGACCACGTTGAGATAGAATCATTGCCACAGCAAGCTAGAATTCTGAAAAATAAATATGGGGTTAGGAGGAGTGAAGTTATGAGAGGTGATTATTCCCCCACCTGAAAGGGTAAAAGTTAAGAGGGTAGGTAGGTAAGGCTTGTCTCTGGTATGCATGATGTGGGAGTCTTTAGGAAATACTGTTGAGAGTCCTGCTGTAAAAAGGATAAGAAATTAGGAACCAAATTGGATAACATGACAGCCTGAGAGTTGTGGCTGTGAGGCCTTGGTGAGGTGAAGATGAGTAGGCAAAAGGATGGTTAGATTTACGGCTGGAAGGGCACCACTTAGCCTGAGTGATGTGAAACCAGGATGGCAGTCTAGCAACTCTGACGGCTGTTGAGGTTGCCAAGAATACCAGGTATGAATCGTTCTAACCTAGTTGTAGTCCTTGGAATGATTTGCTGTAACAGGACTTTAGTAAGTATATCAGCAGTCTCCCTGGTTGTGTGAAAGGCTTTTATGTATCCTGAAAAAGTATAAACAAAGTGAGAAGACAAAATTTATCTATCAGTCTTGATCAGGGTTGTCTGAGAAATTGGTGAATAAGAAAGGAAGGGGGTGGTATATATCACTGAGGAGAGGTTTACTAGCGACAACAGGTGTAAGCTGTTGAGGCCTCATAGTTTGGGTCAGTCCGTATAAACACAAGGGAATAAAAAGCATTTTTAAGACTTAGGACTGTAGAGTGAGTGGTGGAGGGTAGTTTTGGTACCCCTGGGTGGATTGGGAAGAAACAGTCTGGGACCTGCATGAAATAGGGCCTGTTTGTAAATGGCATAGGTTGACCATCAATATCCCCTAGAGACTGAGGACTTAATATAGCAGCCTGAAAACTCAGGAAGAACTCTGTATATATGGCCTCTATGTCCACAAGTATAGAGAATGTCTTACCTGAGACTTTTAGTGGGACTTGAGACCCTGAGAGAGACACCTTAAAGTGGGCTGTTGTTGGCCCTGAGCCCTGTCAGTCTTCAGCAGCAAGTTTAAGCAGATCTGGTGGCGATGAATCTGGCAGTGTTGGCATTTCCTGTGAGGGCTGGAAGTTAGGATGGCTTACCCACTCTCTGGTGGCTAAGACAGTCCAGTAGCCCTGGGGTAAGATCTCAAAGGAATGCCAGGATGGGGCACTCTCTTGCCCAATGTCCTTCTGCTGCATTTGAGGCATGGTCCATGGGGGGGCCCAGGAAGCTCCACCTTGTGTCGGTTTACCTGTCTCAGAACTCCAAGTGTCACTGGTATCTCTGTTGTAGAAAATACAAAAAGCCATATTAAGGAGGTCTCTGTGGAGTTTGAGGGTCAAGTTTTGCCTTTTTGTTTTGGGATCCGGTCTATAGTAGAATGTATCTATAGAATTTAATTAAGTATGCAGGAGTCAAATATAATTAACAGGGTATTTATGACTTTAGTAGTGGCTTCCCATAAGGAAGACAAGGTCTAGGGAACTTTAGGAACTGACATGTCATTTATGTCATATATAAGTATCTCTTTATGTTGTTAAAATGTCTAATGCCTTCTGATTTTTGGAGGATGGCTTGTTTAATTAATTTTTACCTTTTTACTTTAGAGAGAGATCAGCTACGGTGTCATTTAATATCAGTTGAATATAGTTAATTATGGCTCGGTGGAGCACTGAGCCAGGGCAGGCAGACAGGCTGGGAAAGATTTAAGTTTGACTTCTGCCGCAGTGTTGGTTTTGTTGTTTTGCATGTATCATATAACCCTTGTTTTGGAAAAGAGCTAGTGGTTCCCAGCAAAAGGAATTTATGACTATCTCTTAATTTTAGTTGTTAAACATTTAGGAGATTGGTAACAGTACAGTATAATATAGGCAATAAGCTTAACATAAAATAAATGGCTATAAACCATGAGAATTTTAACATATGAACGCCAAGGAAATTTGTGAAACATCTCTAAGCATATATCTGGATCTGAAAGAAAACATTTGTCATGGCTGAAACACAAGAAAAAGGCAGCAGAAACAATCTGAATTTTATATCTGGAAGCATGAATACACCATCAGATCAGCAACAATTAACTGTCTGCTGCCGTGCTGGCAGCCAGAGCCGTGCCTGTAGTCAGTGCCACGTTTGTGCCTGGGGGCAGGGGCTGACTGCTCTGGCAGGCAGCACGTAGGGTAGGCGTAGTGCGCCAAGGGTGGGGGCAGTGCATGCAGGCAGAGTGGGCAGGGTGCACATTGGGTGTGCAGTGCGCGGTGTGGAGCCGGAACTGCTGTGAAGACAGGCTGGGTCGGGGGTGGAGCACAGAAATGGGTTCACAGCATAAAGTTGGGACTGCTCGGGAGGTGCGGCAGGGAGCCGGGACCAACATGGCGCTGGGGCGCCATATGGAGCCGGGATTGCTCGCAGGGGGTAGCATGAGAGCCGGACCCCACATGGAGCTGGAGCATGGCATGAGGACTTAGAGCAGCCCGTGCTTACCTCCCAACACTGTTTGGGTGCACCTCCCCCATCTTGGTGGGGAATAGGTTGGCGTGCGGTGGGGGGGAGGGGAATGGGGAGGAAAGAAAGGGAAAGGATACATTCCCAAAATAAAGGCTTAAAGATAGAGAGTTTTGTAAACTTGTCGTCAGTATGATAAGCTATAAATAGGCATGGGTTTTTTTTGGAGGGGGACAGGAAGTGGTCCCCAAGATAAAATCTGGTGTGGGGCCTGGCCCATAGAGTCACAGCCAGGTGAGGCAACAGACCGTGGTCTATTACGTTTAGGTCATCACCTGTACTTGTTTTAGACCGAACGGTAGTATTTTAGTTCCAAAGCTCGTAATAATTGGCCATCACCAATATATATAATTGGATTTTTCTGTGGATTTTAGTAACAGCTCTGCCCATGAGGGCTTAAAGCTCTAAAGGATGTGAGAGTTTTCCAGAGTGGGACCTGGCCCACAGAAGAAGACTCTGCCTTGGGCTAAGGACGTGAGAGTGTCACACGAATCCACAGAAGGTAGAGAAAACTCATGTGGGGCCTGGCCCAGTGGCCCGAGTAATCTCTGGGGGTTGCTCACCTGTGGTAAATGAATTAGACTGGTGATGTTTGCAAACCAGCAGCGACAAGTTTAGCATCTCCCAAGTGTTGAAAAGTGAGGAATTAATCCAGTACGCAGTCCGGTCCTGAATGGCAGGGGACTCAGACTGGGAGGGTCCCAGGAGTCTCTCATCTGCTGTTCCTAGTCAGGGAACCATCTGATAGAATTGTGACATGGCTGAAAAGATAAGAAGTATGAAATATAAATGACCTTTATTTTAAGAATGCAGGGAGAGGGCTGGGGATTTAGCTCAGCGGCATAAGTGCCTGCCTTGCAAGCAGGCAGTCGTGAGTTCAATCCCCGGTACCGATAAAAAGGAAAAAGACAAAAAAAAAAAAAGAATGCAGGGAGAGACCCCCTGACCCTCTGGGGTCTGGCATCACCCTGGGGTCGGTGATCTTTCCCCAGGGTCTGGGAATCTCTCTGCTGCACATGTGGAGTGGGGGCATACATGTAGCTTAGGTTGGGGGTGGTGCCTGAGGGGTATTAGTGATGCACAGGTATCTCATTGGTATTCATTTCACACCAGAGGCAAATTCCTAGGGGTAGGGAAGACAGAGCCCCTTGGTTCTACCTCTAAGGCTTTACTGGCTACAGTGTCCTGTCTGGGCCAAAGTCCTTTGATTAACTTGCTGGGATTCCAATAACATCTCAATGGGATTACAAATATAACTTTTTGGATTGTGAGGAAAACTAGAAAGAGGATTACAATACTTGGATGAGTAAACTCAACATTTGGGATTACAATAATTAACCATTAAGGAAATGCAAATTAAAACCACACTAAGCTAGCACTGTACTATCAGAATGCCTAAGATAGAAAACAGTGCAATACCAAACTGAACCACTCATACATGGCAGATGGAAAAGTAAACTAATACATTCTGAAAAAGATTCTGGCAGTTTCTTATAAACTAAATATGCAATTTCCATACAACCCAGAAACTGTATTCTTGGGAAATTATTCCAGAGAAATGAAAACTTCTGTTCACACAAAAACCTGTACACAAATGTTCATAACAGCTTTATTAGTAACAGCAAAACAGTGGAAACAAGCCACCTTCCATAGATGAATGTGGATGAACAGAGACATCCACATTATGAAATACTTCTCAACAATAAAAAGGATCAAGATGTTGACCCATGCAGCTACTTGGATAAATCTCCAAAGAATTAAGCTGATTGAAAATGGCCAAATCCAAGAAGTGACATATTTACCCTATATATTATTCCATCTATGGAGCAGTCTTAAAATGACAAAATTCTACAGATGGGACAGATTAGCGTTGGGGTTAGGGTCACAGACAGGGGAGGCACAGGAGACAAGAACAGCAAGCGTGATTACGATAAGACAACAGGAGATGTCCTAGGGCATCTCCTGGCACTATCTTGACTGTGACACTGTATTGCAGTTCTTGAAGATGTCACAATTGGAGGAACCTAGGGAAAGGAAACATAGATCCCTCTTATGTTGTTTCTTAGAGTTACATGTAAATCCACAATGATTTCAAAACTGAAAAGTTTAATTTTTATTTTGGTGCTGGGGATTCAATCTAGGGCTGCACACATGCAACACATATGCTTTACCACTGAGCTACAGCTCTTACCACCCAAAGGTTTAATTTTTAAAAATGCATTCATTATTATCTGGCTTACATCATGGCTACCCAATGGTAACCAGAGGGCAGAAGATGGGATAGAAAGGAATTTTTTGGAAGCAGAAGAGAAGAACAAGCAAGAACGTGGCAGTGAAAGCCACACATCTTGCTTTGCCATACACTAATTCTTCAACCCTGGCTAAGTTCTTCTGTGCCTCAGTTTCCTCAGCTGTAAAAGGTGGATAAGCTAATGTCCGTAAACCACTTACAGCAGTACATGATGCACAGTTAGCACTGGAAGCTTTGTTATCACAGTGATTTCCTTATTCCCCCAGGAATGGGTGCCCAACTGGAAATTCCAGTTGGCCATCTTCTGGCAATGCTGTAAAGACACATGGCCTAAGTCCCAACTCCTCACAATTTTGTTCTTCCTGCACCAGGCTCACTAACTGATACATAGCATCATATACAATCACTTGTACATGTGTTTTCTTCTTGTATTACTTTATTCTTAATCTTTATCCTAACTTGTATAATTAAAAGTGACAATTTAAAAATTAAACAGATGTAACTCATATAATAAATAGAATACTCCAAATCACATACTGATATAAATGAATAAAATAAAACGGTGACATATAGCAGAATTTTTACATGCCCTCAAATGCCTTTGTACAAACTACTTGTTAATTACAGAAAGAAAAAGAGAAACTTTCTAGTGAAGTCTGGTAGACTAGCTTTCATTAGATAATCACAAGAAATGACACTCTTAGCAGGACAAACTCATGTCACAGTCACCTAACTGGATGGACTGAAGGCACAGCATCACTTCTGCAACATCTGTGACAAAGATACATAACCTGAATAGCCTAGGTCACAGTGTTCAAAAAATATAACTCCAGGCATAATGGTGCATACTTGTAATTCCAGCACTCTAGGAGGCTGACGCAGGAAGATCACAAGTTAGAGCCCAGATAGGGCAACTGAGTGACTTAGTATGACCCTGCTTCAAAATTTAAAATATATTTTTTAAAAAAAGGACTAGGGATATAGCACAGTGTGTGGGCCCTAGGTTCAATTATCAGTACTGCAAAACCAAAACTAAAGATACATACCGGGAATCTAATTATGAGGAAGCATCAGGCATCTCCAAATCGAGGGGCATTCTACATAACTGCCCTGTCATTTTCAAAAGGTTCCCAAAGACCAAGAATGACTAAGGGACTCTTCCAAGGAAGGGACATCAAAGTGATGGCAGCTGAAAGCTAAACTTGGTCCTTTGCTATACTGGACCAGACAGGGGCAACAAGTGAAACCTGAAGGGGTCTGAGAGTCAGATGGTAGTCACGTGATAGTCTTGATTTTTCCAGCACCTTGGGGTTATGCAGAAAAAGGCCCTTGTATATAAAAAAAAACACTGAAGTATTTATTCAGGAATGATAGGACATCAGACAACAACTTATTTTCAAATAGCTCAAAAGGAAAAAAAGGTATTTTTACCATATTTGCACATTTTCTAGCTTAGATCATTTCAAATAAAAACTTTTAAAAGGTTGGGACAGTATTTCAGTATTAGAGCATTTGCCTAGCATGTGAGAGGTTCTAGGTTTAATCCCCAACACCCTAAAAACAAAAAATGAAAATAAATAAAACAAAGCAAAAACCATTCATTAAAACACACCATAGGCCAAGTGTGGTAGCATACCCCTGTATTCCCAGCACTCAGGAGGTTGAGACAGAAGGATCACTGTGAGTTCGAGGCTAGCCTGGGTGACAAAGTGAGTTCAGGGTGAGCTTGAATTGCATAGGGAAACCCTGTTTCAAAAAGACAAATAAAGGAAAAAATCGATCAAAAAGGAAAAAACATCTATGGACAAAGAAGTGATATTTTCTATGCAGATAATGAATAAAGAATTAATATCTGGAATATAAACTACATTAAGAGAAAAAATAGACAAGAAATTTAAACAAACAATTGACAAAAGGGGCAATGTAATGAAATATATTATTTTCTTACTATGTGTATAAATGACTTGCAATGAATATATTTAGTGTCCTATATGAACAAATGTAGCCGAAGTGTCTGAGAATATCTTAAATTTCAGAGTGATTCAAACCTGTCCAGCAATATTTTCCTACCCAACTATTTTACCCAACAATTGGGTATCAGAAGCACAGAAACACATTACAGTAAACTGTCTTCCATTCTGTTGGCTCAAAGACAAAGTGAAAGAAATTACTTGTCCTGTTTTTTTTTATTTCTTTGGACAAGATCTATGTAGCCCAGCCTGGTCTTGAACTTCTGAACTCAGGATATCCTCCTATCTCAGCCTTCCAGGTACCTGGGATGACAGGTATGCATCATTGCCCTCAACTGTACTATTATTGCTCTTCTTACTAATTTAAGATAAAAGCAAGGAATGGCTTTTACTGCCTTTCCAACTTGGGAACTTTGATGCCAAAATAGCATGCATCAGAATGTCAAGTGGCTATGCCTTTTCAAGTAATGTTCTGACATGGTTCTATTTTTGGTGATGTTTGCCTCTTCTCTGGCTTTTCTTCTTCCACCACTCACTGTTTATAAACTGCACCCATTTAAAGGGTTTTGAAAGTTTTCTTTCTTAAAACTTGTCAATATTTTCTCTATATGTTATTTTCCTGAGAAATTCAAATGGCTTCCAGATATTTGCAGGGTGCTCTAGTAGTTTCTTGGGAGAAAAAATAGGAATAGTCACACCAAAAAATTCTACCAGGGTAGAAACTTTGAATGCAATACAAAAACAAAATCTAAAGGAAAAAAAAAGAAAAACATAACTTGGGAGAATTAAATTTATAGTAAGGCCAAATATTTTTATAATTAGAAATTATGAAAAAAAAATAGTTGAATTGGGGCCCCTAAAAGTTGTTTGCACGTGGTTCTGAACTTTTTGCTGTTCTTATACCAAGGTAATCAGTTTAGCTAAAATAAGATCAGTGCGCATTTATTACTCTGCAAGTTATTTTTATTCATTTGGCAATAAAATAACGGCCTCTTTCCAAGTTAGTGCATTCCACCACTGTCACTCTCCTCCTACCATGGCGTTGGGGACTGAACCCAGGGCACTGAACATTCTAAGTAAGTGCTCTACCAATGAGCTACATCTCTTGCCCCAGTGCATTCTTTTCAAAGGATGTATTAGTATGTATCTCATTCTACAAAAGTGTACAACATAGTTAGCAATTACCCTCTTCTGTTTTTGTTAATACCTTAGCCAAATAGGTTATATGAGAAGCAAAGGCTGAACCTACACACAAACTTTTAATTGGAAGGTTTCAAGCCTCTAATCTAAACAAATGATTTCATGACATCCTCTGCTCCACCGTGTGGATACATTATAGACAGGCAAGTTTGACAGAAGGTCACAGGCAGAGACTGCATGACCAAGCCTTGTTTGGATAAGCAGGAGCCTGAGGTAAGAGTTACTGAGAACCAGGTGGACAATTAAGTGCAGGGAGGTAACAAGCAAGGTGATGGATGATCGCTATGACTACTGCTTCTCCCTGTCTGGAAAATGGTTTTTCCTTCCCACTTTGCTCTTTTAAGGAACCACTCGGATAGTAGAGAGGCCAAGAGACACCTGCAGGTCTACACTTGCTACACACTGAGATTCGTCCTAGGCCCATTTCTAGTTTGAGTTTGTTTTAGTTCCACAGGTTGACCATAGTTTGACTCAGCGGGGTGTAAGCCCTGGTCATTTTGGGGAATGGCGTCACTTTCTGGTCCCCTCCCAATGAGCTGGCACTGTTTCTCTGCTCTTTGTTATTGTTTTGTTTTTGTTTTTTTTTTTAGGCAGGGTCTCACTATGTAGCTCAGACAGGCATTGAACTCACTAAGTAGCCTAGGCTGGCCTACTGGGATTACAGGTGTGTACCACCATGGCTGGCTAATTCTCTATTCTTTTTTTTTTTTTTTTTTTTGTACCAGGGATGGAACTCACAACCTTGTGCTTGCCAGGCAGGCGCTTATGCCGCTGAGCTAAATCCCCAGCTAATTCTCTATTCTTTTTTTTTTTTTTTTTTTTTTTTTTGTCTTTTTGAGACAGGGTTTCTCTGTGCAGTTCAGGCTGGCCTTGAGCTCACTTTGTAGCCGAGGCTGGTCTCAAACTCGCAAAGATCCTCCTGCCTCAGCCTCCCAAGTGCTGGGATTACAGGCGTGAGCCACCACGCCCGGCTTAATTCTCTGTTCTTAACAGATGGTCCTCCTGCCTACCTCTTTTGTTCTCAACTTCATTCTTTGATTTCATGAGACACAGACAGATTATGCTGCTACAGCTAAAGACAAGTGATTCTGAGATGAAAACTAAGTCACAGAAAATATATTTATACTACCCCAGCTAGAAACAAAGTTTAATATTAAAAAAATCAAAAAGTTAATTAAGATTCTAAATACAGTAAAATTGTGCATGTTGAAAATTACATAGTTTTGTTTTTCAGGTAATGACAAAATGCACCCGTCTGTCGGCACGGTGGTGTCTGTAATCCCAACACTCACGAGGCTAAGGCAGGAGGATCGCTGCGAGTTGGAGGCCATCAAGGGCTACACAAGGAGTTCAAGGCCTGCTTGCACTACAAAGCAAAACCCTGCCTCAAAAAAGAAAAAAAAGGACCCTTTTAATTATTAACTTTTAAGTATAAAGTCACATTCAATACATCTCAGATGTTACTAGCCAAAAAAAGAGGAAATGAGCATCCTAATTTGGTGATCTAAGCACATCTTTCAAACAATTTCCAATCTGTGTACAGAATCAAGTAAATACTTAGTTGTTTCTCTTGCTTCTCAGATTTTCGCCCCTACCTTCTGCGTGGCTTCTTTCCAGAAATTTTTCTATACGGAATTTTCCACAGAGCCCAATAGAGGGCCTATTCGCAGGAAACCGCAATGGGGCACGGACAGAAAAGTCTGCAGACAGGGGTAGCAAATCAGGAACCAGGAGGCCTCACCTCCCACGCTCCACCCACAGGGCTATCGGGTTCCAGTTCCAGCTGGTCGCTAAGAACAGATGGCGGCTCCGCTTCCTTTTAGTCATGGAGGTGGTAGAAATGGTTTCTAAGAATAACTAGTGACTTGGGAAAAGACTGCAGTTATGTGAATTGACATCCAAGTATTTTATATCCTGGCTTTTCCCCCAAGATTCCTATTCTTCTTTTAAAATGTATTTAAAAGACATAGAGATAGGGAAAATACATTAAGCAACACACCACAGTGGTAAACAGTGATTATTAGTGAAGAGATTATGTTAAGTTTGTTACATTATTTTATTGCCCATATTTTACACAGTGTGGTTCTTTTGTTTTGAATATCCCATTTTCAAAAAAGAAGATACAAAGTTAGAAGAAGCAAGAGACTGGAAATAAATATACCATTGCATACGTGCAGAAAGGTGTGATCCCTTTCCTCAGCCAGTAAAAGGGTGAGGAACAACATTCCTACAATAAAATACAGGTCAACAACAACAAAAAAATCAATAAATGTATTCAGTCAAAGTTTTATGTGACACAGCAACCTTCAGACTGAAGTCTCAAAGACACAAAGAAAACTTTTATGCTTAAGTTAAATGAAAAATGCACAGCTGGGCATGGTGATGCAAGCCTGTAATCCCAGCTACTCAAGAGGCTGAGGCAGGAGGATCACAATTTTGAGACCAGCCTCAGAAACTCACAGAGATACTATCTCGAAATAAATAAAAGGACTGGGATGTAGCTCAGTGTTAGAGTGCTCCTGGCTTCAATGCCCAGTACTGAAAAAAATTAAAAATGAGGAAATTGAGACACTGAGAAGGATAACAACTTTTCTGGGGTCACAGATAGCAGGATGTTGGGGATACTCGCACTCTAGGTTAGTAGTCAACTACTAAAATATTTTGGATGACTTCAGAATTGATTTTCTCATGCCACAAGATGGTACATAGCATTTACATGGATGGCACAAAAGTATTAGGAATTATTTCATATATAGAAAAATAAATGTGATATATGTATGGCATCAATAATTATACAGCTAACAGGGTGTGTCGGCATGTGCTTGTAATCCCAGCACTCGGGAGGGTGAGGCAGGAAGATTGCCATGAGTTCAAGGCCAGCCTGGGATACATAGGTGAGCTCAAGGCCTGCCTGCACATCATAGCAAGACCCTGTCTCAAAAGAAATAATAATTATACAGAAAACATTTCATGTAGTTCATTTATCTAGAAATAATGAGAACTATTTGGAGTACGTTTGTCTTTAATTTACTATCATTTTATAAATTGAACAAATATTTGTAAAATATGTGTGAAGTCAGCCAACAAATGATAAATGTTTCTTTCACCTGAGACAGGTGGTGAAACCTATTGTGGGTCAGTGTGTATGGAACCTCAAAAGCTAAATGTGACCTCAAGAATTTTGTTACAAAATGCATTTCTGAACAATACCAAAAGTAGACATTTCAAAATCACTTGCATTAGCTTGGCATAATGGTGTAGGCCTGTAACCCCGGCACTATGGGAGGTTGAGGTAGGAGGATCAAAAGTCTAAATCCAGCCTGGGCAATTTAGCAACTTAGTGAGGCCCTGCTTCAAAATTTAAAAAATAGGACTGGGGATTTAGCTCAGAGGCACAAGCACCTTTCTTGCAAGCACGCTGTCATGAGTTTGATCCTCGGTAGCAAAAAGAAAGAAAGAAGAAAGAAAGAAAGAGAGAGAGAGAGAGAGAGAGAGAGAGAGAGAGAGAGAGAGAGAGAGAGAAAGAGGAAAAAATGGAAAGAGAGAAAGAGATAAGATAGAAAATTAAAAAAAATAAAACAGCCTGGGGTAGGATTTAGCTCAGTGGTTCAGGCACTTGACTGGTAAATGCGAAGAGTTCAATCCCCTGCAAAAAAAAAAAAAAAAAAAAAAAAAAAAGGCTAGGGGGTATAGCTCAGTGGCAAGGCCCTGGGTTCAATCCCCAGTACTGGGGAAAAAATCACTTGTGTTGGGGGAAAGGTTTTTTGTTTCTTTTTCGTTAATTGCAATTTTAAATAACCACTAACCATACTGAACAGTAATCTCTATCAAGGGATCTACAGGGGAGGACGAGATATCTGTCACTGTACATGGCATCTCAAAGGTGGCCCCTATTGTTCAATGTCAATAATTTATGTTGATACCTTTGCTCAACTATTTTCATACCGGCACCAAAAAAAAAAAAAAAAGAAGAAGAAGAAGAAGAAAAGAAAGAAAGAAAGAAAGAAAAAGAAATAATCATACTTACCAAAAGATGTCCTCATCAGAGTAAATCTTTAATAATAAAATTATACAACTTTCATTTGATTTCATTATTTTTCCATTCGTTTAATCCTTCAGCTTTCTAACTGAACACACAAATCCTATTTAAAATCTTTTGTTTAACTTTATAAAAAGTATAAATGTACATTATATAACACATAATGAACTTTTGAAAAGACAAAAGAACCCTGTCGGTTTAACAGTATGTTCTTCATCAATTTTGGAACATAGGGGTAGCAAATTCAAATTACTGCTCATTTCATTTTGTTAGGATTTAAGAAAAATTAAAGTAATGGTTGGCTCACCTATAAATGACCTACATCTCTAACTTCAGGGCTATAGTTTTTTTTTTTTTTTAAATCTCTTCAAGAAATAGCTACATGTGGAAATTTCCATACTCTGCCTTTATTAACTTTTTAAACAGAACAGTTTATGTGGCTTTACCACTAATGAAAAAGTAACCTTAAACTGCCGGTTTGCAGCAAAACTCAGGCTCACTTCACCTCCTATTGGCTGAAACGGCCTCCACCAACTTCTTGTGCGCAGCCATTGGTCCTTTAGAGGTTCTGGAGCTGAGGTACAACCTATCCATTCCCACAACCTCTCAAAACCCACTTTCTGCTGAGCTGCCATTGGTTGATCCCAATGCCCGTCAGGGACCTGGCTGGTTGTTGTTGTGGCTGAGTAAATTGCTGGTCTGCGCTCAGGGAAATGTTTGTGCGCCGCTATTTCTCCTAAAATGGGTAGTGAGAGGGAGTTGGTGGTCTGGGGACTCAAAAATAGCGCTTTCTAGGCACGGCAAGGGTGGCCGCGATGGGAAAGGAGAAGGGCAGGCTTTGGAAGAGGTCCTGAGGGACACAAGGACTGCTGAGGCAGATCTCAGTGAGATTCCATAAGAAGGCGTCTCCAGCCTGCACTCCTGTTAAACACAAATCAAAGTTGAATTCCTGGAGTACTCCTTGTCCCTCAGGTTAGGACAGTATCAACCTCAGTTTCTTCAGATATAAAATGGTAGCATTACAACAGCAGTCAGTGAACACTTCAGATTTCGTTTTTTTAGACAAGTTTCTGTAATGTAAAATTGCAAATTATAATACATTATAAAATATTAAATTGCTCGTATATAATAACCAGCAACTAATTTGAGGGGATGAGATAGGGTCTTGCTATGTAGTTTGGGCTGCTCATAAACTCACTTTGTAGCCCAGGCTGACCTCGAACTCGCAGCAATCCTGCCTCAGCTTCCCCAGTGCAGGCATTACAGGTGTGCACCATCATGCCTGGCCCAGCAACTTTCAAAGCGTTATTTCTAGGCATGTTAATTTTGAAGAGGATGTCAGAAAACCATAATCAGCCAGTTCAGGTTTTAAATTCTGCTGGAATACAGATGATCTCCAATTTAGATGGTTTAAAGTAATGTTTTTGCATTAGGATGATGTGAAAGCTATACACATTCAGTGGAAACCCTACTTCAAACTGTGAATTTGGATCTTTCCCACATACTAGCAAAAGACAGCCTCACCCTTTCTCCCAATGCAATACATGAGCCATTCAACACTTGGTTAGAAAGTAGGTTTTCTGTTAGATGATTCTGCCCAAATGTCGGCTAAGTGTTCAGGAGAAGCCATGATGGTCTGTAGGTTAGGTACATTAAATGCATTTTCAATTTAGGATTATTTTTTCACATATCCTTGAGAAATATCTATACATGGTGCTTGTGAGGGTTTCAGTGTGATGATGACAACGATGATCACAATGATGTTGACGATGATGATAAAATTCAAATGACTTTACAGGCTTTCATGTCGTTTGGCACTTGTGAGGTCCTTGGCTAAACAAGTGAGCTGAGGTGGGTTTGGCACAAATCTATGAGAGAAAGGGTTGCCTTTGAATGGACTTGGTCCCCACTCCCGTGTGATCTTTCTCCCTTCCCTTCTCTCCCTGTCCCTTCCCCACACAGCACCTGTGCCGTGAGCTTACACTGGGATTCTGCTCATTTTTTGTAAATATTGGGCAAAAGAGTAAGAGGTCTTCAAATATGTTCTATAAATTAAAAGTTTTAACACAAATTAAGTGGCTGAGTATGGTGGTGCACACCTATAACCCCACCACCTGGGAGACTGAGGCAAGGGGATTGCTGTGAATTTGAGGCCAGCCTGGCCTACAAAGTGAGTTCAAGGCCAGCCTGAACTGCGTAATGAAACCTTGTCTCAAAAACACAAAAAAGAAGAAAAAAAGATTGAAACTGCCTCCCCCCACTATTTGCAGCACCTCACTGAACTCCAGCCACAGTTATTCCTGATCTCTCAGGGACCGAGGCAGCTCCACACTGACAGTTGAGAACTGAAGGGTCCAGGGATTCACTTTCAAAAAAGAGAATTTATAATGTATATAACCAGTGAGAATTGGCAAGAAATCAAAATATTTAAGCTTATGTTTGAAACTATTTTTGCCATACATTGTTATTGAGGTATATTTTTCAGGCAGTAAAATGTATGTTCAGGGGCTGGGGATTTAGCTCAGCGGCATAAGTGCCTGCCTTGCAAGCAGGCAGTCGTGAGTTCGATCTCTGGTACCAATAAAAAGGAAAAACTCCCCCCCCACCCAAAAAATGTATGTTCAGTTTTAGTATACAGTTCAATGAATTTGAAAAATGCATACCAGATGTTCCAATCACTTCTGACAATTTTTTGTGCCCAT